GTTATGTTATAATACTCAATTACTAACACAGAAAAAAATGTACTATCCAGTATATTTTGATCAAAAGTTAAAATATCTGCAATGAAATAAGTAAACCACCATTAAGTATACCTACCTACTCTTTAAATAACCAACTCCAAACATTATTATCTAACTCTAATTACAGCTACACATCATAAACAGAATGAAAATAACAATTTTCCAGTGCCATCAAGACATAAACCGGATAAAATCGGTTCGCTCCGGTTGTAACCGCCCGTATCCAGTTTAATAATCTTTAGTAACGCGCTCAAGGCTCTTAAGATTGTCATTAGACACTGTACACCATTCCAACGAGTTTATTGGACTGTAAAAAGCAAAAACTAACTGTTTCAGAGCATTTCTGTGTGGAAATTTTGCGAAAATATTAACACAGTCGACGAAGTCGTGAATTTTAATGTTGTATTTAGGTTGCAGACTTTGTTGCAAGCTAATCTTCGTGATATTAGTAAAAAGTGAATCCTCGTAACTGCATTACGCCAGATATTTAGGTAGTGATACTTGATCTAAGGGCCGATTTTGATAACGCCAGATAAATTTTAACAGAGGACTGACTTTGAATATTTGACACCATGCTAAAAACTGTCAAATGTCAATTTTATTATACAGTTAAAAATTAACTGTTGGTAGAAAAATTTACCATTCATCATTATTATCTACAACAGCCTATAAATGCCCACTGCTGAGCAAAGCCCCTTCTCACACGGATAGGGTTTGATTATAAATCGCCATTTTCTTATTTTCTTTTTCAGTCTTTCTGACTGGATTTGGGTGTTGCATTGTTCTCACATAATCGAACCAATAAAACTATGTAACTAGAGAATTGTATTGTAAACCTGATTGAAAAAGAGTAACCTATGGAGTTTCTTGCTCTTTCTTCTCCATAGGAATCTACGCCTTGGAATGAGCAACTAGCTTCACTTATAAATTTTTGTTGTTTGACGTTCAAAAGTGCCATCCTGGTCTAATTGAAATAAATGATTTTGACTTTGACTTTGACTTTGACTTTGACCATTAATTGATCTTTAGTATTTTATTATTGAAGTGACATAAAGTATAAGCAGTAAAGTAAACGTACTAAGGTAGTTATTAATAAAAGTACGGATACGACGAATGCTTTATCTGAATTCTACTCCAGAGCATTTAAAAAAATGTAACCGAATAAAAATAGAACAGACCAGAATAACATTTAGAAAAAAAAACTAGAAACTAAAATACGGAACTGTAAAAACTTTTTCCGCCATATTTTTTGTGATGACGTATGTATACGTAGGGGTGGCTATCACAATAAAACTCGGTTTCACGAATAGTTTGTTATGTCAGTGTATTTTGTATTTGTACAGTGCAGCTTCGAAATTGATTGGTCACGGTCGTAAATTTGAAATAACAGCGGGTTTTAATTTATTCGCCCGACTGTACCGCCTCTACGTGATAATTCGTAATTTAGGGCTGTACATTTGTTATGGGATGAGTTTTTGGGTGCATAGACAGGGTCGAACTCAAAGCAACACTAAGGGTGCATAAAAATTATCGACTTTAAATATTTATGGTATTACTAGCTTCTGCCCACGACTTCGTACGCGCAATCCCATTTTTTCCCGTTCCCGTAGTATTTTCAGGATTTTTTTCTGTCATAAGAACCTTCTCCTGACAACAACCAATAATAAAAAAAATCAGCCAAATCGGTCTAGCCGTTCTCAAGTTATGGCGTGACAACGAGAAACGGGTCTCATTTTTATATATATAGATTAAATGTTACCACCCTTTTGCCATTTTGTCGTTGTTAGACGAAATTCTCTAGTTATTTTATAGAGAACGTAAACTAGAACTTATAATAATAAAGATGAACTGGAGATTTTAGATTAAAGGGCATTGACTAAAATTGGTGCCTTTCTTTTTTCTGGCGGCAGTCGATGATTTATGAAAAATATTATCTAGAATGACATTACAAACAAAATTGTCTATGGGCTCATATATGGAAATCTCAGTCTGGACTGAGTTATGAGGGTTGAAAGGAGCTGGAGTCAACCATTTTACTTTGGTTTTTTTATTCAAATTATTCATATTTTTGTCACAATTCCTAATTTCAAATTGCGCGCCACTGTACGCCGGGCACAGGAACACCATATCACACCACAATATATGAAAGAAGAAAGAAAGAAAGAAAAATAATTTATATGCATATTGCCACGCACTAATATTTATTAGACCCATTTTCTCTCAGTCGATAACTTGTGGGATGCATCTAGGAGTTGTGTCATGAAGCTTCATGAGCGTCAGCTGTGGTACCAGTGGTGGGTTGAGTAGTGGTAACTGGTAGGTGTCCAAATATCAAATAAAGTGTTATTTTTTGCCGTTGACTCCTGTTGGGAGATTTATCTACTTTATAGTAAGCATAATCTTTTTAAGGAAGGAAACCATCGACTTTGTAAAGTGACGGACGTCAGATGGACGCACAATTTTTTCATACAATGTGATCAGTCGAAATATAATCCATCACTTTGTGACTGAATAACGATATCTTTGTACAGAATCGTATGTAGCTGTAAATTAAAGTATTAATTGTAGTTAGATAAGTGACTAATCGGAAGTAAGTCGGGAGAAGTAGATAGAAAAATGTTTTTTTCATGTTTTGACGACTGCCACTACTCAATCCGCTACCGACGCCGCAGCTGACAAACGTAGCATTTCATGATAGGGCTTAGTAAAGTATTTTGTGGGTTTTCGACTGAGAGGAAATTGATCACGAAAGCCTGTCATAGACCATATACCGTATACATTTAAAGTGAACACGCTAGCTAATCAAGCGAAATGTTTT